AGTAATGTTATGTCAATTCCAAGAATGTTTAAGGATATATCGGTTGATGAAGAATTTATTGATTAGGCCTATAATAGCAAATTGCATCAATTTACTTTGCAAAAACAAGGTTTCCAGCTTCAGAGTGGGGCACATCCCGTCCGCACAAGGGCACACATTGGCGCTAACACCAGGCGCGTAACAGGCGTCTTGGGTCAGAGTGGGTATTTATTTTCCCGGTTAGTAATTTACCATACCCACCCCACGCCACTCCCCATATAGAAAGCAATACGACATAGGGCTTATCTTATTTATAATATAGGCCACACACGTGTGTTTGAAACTAAATATAAGCATTTTCATCATGGTTTTATTTATTACAAACATATTCTTTCACCATCAATACACGAGGCCCTTCTTTTAGGACAAAAAAATCTATCTTAAATTTGTCTTTCTTGAGTTTGGTTTGCAATTTATAGAGGAAATTGGCCTACCGTAATACCGAAATTTGAGGTTTTTAGGCACTTTCAGGGGATAAAAAGGGCAATTATAAAGGGGTGGGGAAGATTTTTCAAAGATTAAGATATTTTCCCCTTGTCCCCCAGTGGTTACGCCATCGGGCAGCATAGATGAAAGGAGTTATGACAGTTTTTGAAGTGGAGAAGTGGTTGCAGGGTGTTGTGAGTCTGGTCATTATGATATCTTCCTTTTTATTCTTGTCTTTATTTTTCTCTTCTCTTTTTCTTTTTTTTTTCCTTTTCTTTTCCTCTTCTTTCTCTTTCCCTCACTCTCCCCTCTTTCTTTTCTCTTATTACCCAGCCCGGTACGACGGCTTGGTCAGCCCGGTAAAAACCGTCAGGGGAGGGGCAGTTTTCCCCCTGCCCACGCCAATCATCCCCCCAATGAAAAATATTTCTCTACGCCACTGGCTGTATGAGCTGAATAGGATCCTTGATTCATGCAAAAGGGCATGAATCGCCTACGTTGTGACAGATACGCTACTGTAGGCTAAGGGTTGTCTAAACATTTGATGACGTAACCGTATTCGTTATCGTTTTCGTAAATTCCCTAATTTTCTACAAAAAATATTTTTTTTAATCACCAAACTACAGCGTTATTATAACGTAAAATCATTAGCTGGAAAAATAATAATTATTTTTTTAAATAATTATAATGCTAACACTTAGCTAACAATAATTAATTTAAAATGAAATTGCATAATAACAGTTATAATTAGTTATAGGTTAATAAATATACATACCTGATTCCTGTCGGCCTGTTGTTTTTCCGCTTTGGTTTTCTTGGCCATATTTTTGACGGACTTATTCGTCAACTCCGTCGTTTCACCGTTTGAAGCCGATTTGATAATCTTGTTATCCGACATCTTTATACTCTGTAATCGTTTGCTCTGTCTCGTACTTTTGTAGAGAGTGACAATAACGACTGCGTACGAGATCGCCATGATAAGTACAGGAAAGGCGAATTTAACAAAGAAATCGAACAAGGCGTTCAATTCTATCCAAGGTTTTGTATCGTTCGGAATACACACTGACCATCTGTATATGCCATGGACCCGGTTAATATGCTCCTATTTAAAGAAAGAAATCAGAGTACTCAATAACGTATGCTGATGATTCTCTAAGTAGTAACATATCAAAGATATTTATTGACAGAAAAATACACAAATCTACGCGTACAGGAAAGGCATGGCTGCAGCAAAATTACGGGCGATTATGTCCGGATGTTGCTGTCGGGTGGGCGGGGGCGCCTCCTTCGCCTACTACTAAATTAATTAATTAATGTAAAGCATTATTACCATAAATAAAACAAAATGCAGTCTGAAATTAAACGTTGTACAATAGCAAAAGCTCGACCAATCCGACAGGTCTGGAATAACACATCTATAAAAATGCGTGTTTGTCTAAATTACCTGCCTATATGTGTTTGGTACTGCGCACAACACAGCGAACAACCAAGTCCCAACAATAACAAACCGAGCCCGTCTTGTTGTGATAACAGATCGCGCCTGCAGAGGATATTTCACAACGTACAATCTTCAAGAAAAATAGAATTAAATTTGATGAAATAACGACAATAATATCTTAACTCAAGATAATGACCAAATATTACGATTTTTATTTTAAATGAATATACAATGTATCTGGTAGAACATTAAATAGTTCAATATATATTATCAATGTCATAACTAAATGAAATGAAATGCTTTTTCTCTCTCTTTCGTGATGCAACTATCACTTTTATTGCATAAAAATATTTCACAAACATACAAGATGTGTATAAGAGACAGACAGAGAAATATATATTTACAAAGTGTTCATTCGAAAAACTAAGTTCCTGCTTTTGTTATTTTTTAACAAATAAACATAAGCATAAAAACAGACTACGTCGAGGAAGCATTGAACCTCCACTTGGAGTCCCTTTGAACATTTTTTTTTTTATATATGTTTTATGTATTACGCTATTTATTCCACTTTCTTCCCTATTTTTTTAAGATTGGCCCTTTTCTCTGTCTTTCTCTATTGAGTGGATTTCACTCACCTTAATTACTGTTCTAATTTTTATCTTTTTATTTTAATATTTTTGTTTTCTTTTTTTGAACCAACAGTCCTTTATTTCATTTCAACAATTATACCTAAAACAATAATCATCTAAAGTTTTCATATAATTAAAACAATAAGCCTTGATAGACAAATCATTCATATATAATTCAATTGTTACCATTTTACTTTTTTTCATTATTTTTTTTTTTATTGCTACCATCACTCACTGAATGTTTTAATTCTTGTGTGAGCTATACGATGACATTGGTGGCTTAACGTTTATTGATATCTTAAGGCTCTTTCCAATTTATCAAGGTGAATTGAAATGCTTATTCTTCCATGAATACAGTGCAATATATTTATTTAAACATTATGAATTAATATATTTTATGCAATAATAATGACTAATTGATGCCTTAAGTATCAGCCTCTTATAGCCAGTAAACTGGTCTTTGAACTGAGTAAATGGCTAGTAAGGTATTGGTTGTTTTTTGTTGGTTAATGTATCAGTTATTTTCTTGGTATAAGTGGGTTTAAATATTTATGGTTCTATTACGCTCTTTTGTTTATAAGAAGCAGTAAAATATTTTCCCTTGGCTCAAAATGTTATTTTTTTTTTAACTGAATATGGTCGGGTTTGGAAAAAGACATGTCTGGTACGAATTTGATTACACTTAATTTTCCGAATTCGGCCTGAGGCGTTAAGTTATCATGCTCTAGGTGAGATGTTAATATCACTTTGAAGGCCTATCATGGTTTTTAATAACATTAGTCTCATGTGCTATGTTTGCTTTTGTCGACGATCTTTCTTATCAATTCGTTTCTAAGCAGTTTTAATTGTTCAGTCAATTCTTGGTTTATTAGAGTCAGACAGACCATGGGCAGACCTAGCAGGTGATTTCGAAATAATACCTAATATAGACCTACCATCATGGATGGATCTACAGAGCTTTTGTAACAGAGTGAGGGTCCAACCAAAGAGTATAAAGGTGCAATGGTAAGCCAGGCAGTCACTGTGTCGAATCCAACTTCGCTCCCTGTGTGAGCGATAGACGACGCGACGCTATTACTGATTGTCGGTGGCCGTTGCGCACGCGTGTCACAGTGTTGCGTTGCTTTGAGCGCAGTGAGTGCCGCCGGCTTTAGATGTAAATGTTTTAAACACGAGGTCCTACCTGGAAAATGTTGCCCGGAAAAAAGTAATTTAAAAGAAATGATGATGATAATGATACGGTAACGAAGTTGACAATATAAGCACCAAAGATAACTTTTGAAAGACCAAAAAATATTCAATGATGCCATTCTAGTGGTGAATTGGAAGAGATTCCCTACTCCTTTCCGAAGAGTATACTGCGTTTTTTAACGTGCACATGGGCCTAATTGCACACAGGAATAGTAAACGTCCTGCTTTTGCGTCAAGTCTACTGTATCGGTCGAAAGCACATTCCAAATAACATAAAATAACACAATTAACATACATAACAAACTTACTTTGTTGGTGAAGGATTGGCTTAAAACATTCATAATTATTTCATCACATTACTGATGAAAAATCTATTAGTAGGCCTATTACATTTTATCTATTTCGTGAAGTGATTATCTGATAGGCCTAATTGCCCTAACGTTTAGCGAGAGCAGAGCATACTCTACGCGCCGCTGTACAATTTTCGGAATCAATCTTCTATTATTGAACCACATACACACGGTAACTTAATCAGAAAGAATAAAAAGAATACAGTAAATATGCTACCCACCTCTCGACACTGATAATGGTTAGTGTGAACGAAGAACAAGTAAATACAAGCTGATTCAGAAAAGTAATGAATTTGCAAAGAAACGCTCCCAAGTGGAATTCGACAGCCATGTATGCATAGATTTCCGCAGGTGCGATCAAAAGGCACACTAAAAAGTCAGCTATGGCTAGGCTCACCAGCAGCATCGCTGGCACACCCTTCAGCTGTCGACATTGATGTATGGCAATCATAACCAGGATATTTCCACTGCATCCTGTAACGAACACCATTATATATATGAACCAGACAAAAATCTTGACCAAAGTTTCGTTTAGTACAAAACCAGCATCATAAACATTATTCAAGCTCAGATCCGAATCATTGGGTGAAAGCGTCCTGTTTTCCAGACCTGCAGTGAATCCTGGATTATAGGTGACCAATTCTAAAGTAGAAAAAACAGTTACATATTCAGTATATGTTTCGAAAGTTATGTTTTCAGAGATCAACATATCCGTACGGTTACCAATTACATCGTTGAAAAACATTTTAACTTTTGTAAGTATGCTTATGCCAAAAATGTAAATCTCAACGCATAAAGTTAGGTTTCTTGACGAAGTATCACAAATTCACTAGATATTTAGGTATGATGTAGAAGAAACACGAGCGTCGCTCATAATATACAGATGCCACATAGAACCGGATTAAAACCCAGTGCGATGTCACTTTTTGAATACAGTATCGAATTGAAATGAAGCAGTGATACTGTACGCATTCTTCCAGCCAATAAGAAGTCAGGCTTGAATATCAAATATTATAATTTAGTGACACTCAAAGACCTGTTATAATTGCCTTCAATGTCTGTACTACATTCATTGGGAACGCCAGTAGCCAATATTGTTTGAATTTATTTCTAATTTTAATAACATTTGATAAAAATTTCATTTGTGTAAAAACGATTATCGCTGGATATATTGTAATTAGTATACTTTCTCAAAGTAATATGTCAACATAAATGAAAGTTATTTTATATAAGTCTATATGCTTTCACTCATACGTAAATAATTAAAACCCAGTGCCAACATTTAGTACACCAGGGAGGAAATAAATTATGTATTTTCTTTATCCTAATTTATATCCTCCATGGTGGCAAAAAAGGATACAAATTTATTATAAATCTTGGAATTCTTAATAACTGGTAGAACCAAACATTTGGTTTACCACGGAGGAAATAAATTATGTAATCTCTTTATCCTAATTTATACCCTCTATAATGGCAGTATGTAAGACCTCGTTTGGGTTATATGTATATAAAATTTATAATTTTTAATTTTTAATGGATATTTATAATGATTTTGTGACGATGATAATAGAAATAATTGCAATAATAATAATATTAAAAATAATAATAATAATACTTTTTAATGTGAGAATGTCGCATTTTTAAGAGTTTACTGTCTTTACTATTGACCCTTTATATGTGTCTTCTCATTTTACTTAAATTGTATATTTCAAAACTTTTATTTGTTTTGCAATAAATTTATACTGAATTGAATTTAAATATATATAAATATAGCCTATATATAATTATGTATATATATATATATGCAAATATATTATGAATATAAACAAATAGGCCTAGATAATGATAATAATTATAGTGCTAGAATAGAATACGAAGAAGATGTTATAAGAGTATCAAGCATAGCCCTTTACCAAAAAGTTTCTTTTTTTTTTTCAGTTGTATGAAAAAAAGTGTGTCTCTGGCGGGGTTCGAGCCCGCAAACTCTTGCTGTCAAGGTGAGTAACATACCAATTAGACCACGGAGACTTAGGATCTAACCCCATGCACTTTCTCTGACCATACTGACTTTCGCTCTCACACATAGCGACCTAGTAACATTGAATTGGCTAATATTGGTTCTTGGTAATTCTTATATTAATACCAACCTATTGAACTTAAGCTCACCTCACATGTGTTTGTATTATAACCCAATAAAAGTTTGAAGCATAAAGATCTTGTTCATCGACTAATTAAATTTTGAGGCACATATATTGTACTAGGCCTACTATTTCTGTGCTTGATTATGCATTACAATTTACCTACTCAACACCTATATATATAAATATATA